TAATTTATAATCTTCATTTCTTAATGCCTCATAAATAGTCTCATATCTATTATATCTATATTAATTATCAGCGTGTGTAATTACGTCCGAGATCAAAATCCTTCTATGATGCGGCTGGTAACGTATTGGTTTATCTTTGCACTCGTAAGAGCGGTTTACACAACAATTTTGGTTGTATGTATGCTAGATATGGGCCGAAAATTTTATGGAGAAAGTCCTTGGAACACTATGTTATTTAAGACAACTATTCTACAGTTGCTCATTTTTGACTCTGTAAACGTGGTAGATGCCGTCTTGATAGATGTTGAACAGCTGGACCATTCAAAATTTCCATTGTTTCTTTCTCAGGTTTGTAAAAATAAACTTCGTAAGTTAATGCTATGTTATGCAATGCTAATGCACCAATCAATGACTTCTATCAAAAATCTTGTTTGATGCATTATATATATAAAGCTTATATATGTATATATATATAACATTTAAACTGTGTTTTCTTTAGCTAATTTTAGGCGTTTCAACCATCACCTCTTCATTTTTGTATGCTTTCCTACCGGTTCTCACCGTTCACATAAGTAGAGCTGCTACTCAAAAATGTCACATAAATGCACAATCCGCCGCAGTTGGTACATGGTACATGACAATCACGGGAATCCTATCAATAATGTACCTTACCCTCTATCTCGTAACATTTTGTATTAATGATGAGTTAAATTATTCGGCTATTGAAATTTCTTTGGATTGCATGTTGCGCACTGGAATCTCTTTGGCCATTGGTTTGCCACCTCCTGCAAAAGTTATAAATCTTATGAAAATGAAAATTATTGGCCGTATGTCAAATCATGTTGCTCCACGTGTTCCGAAGCGAGTTATTGTAAATGATCAAGAATTTGATCAAATTTGTTGATGTATTATAGAGACCTCTTTGACTTCTATTTCTAAATTTTTTGTAATTTATGTACGTTAATTATTTTTATATAATCCATTTTCGTAAATTTGTACTTTTGACACTGATAAAAAAGCGTTAATGATGAATTAATGCTAAGCGTTTGTAATTCTTTTAAATTGTATTATAAATATATAGTAATTACAGTCGTACCTCTTTATAATCACATAATTGGGACCATAGTAATTTCTCTAAAAAATGTGCTTATATAGAGGTTTTTTTTATATATGATTTGGCTCAAATAGAGGTGTGATTATAAAAAGGTTTTTATATGATGTGATTTTATAGGAGGCGATTATAAAGAGGGAAGACTGTATATGTACTGTACGTACGTACAATAATTAAATAGTTCGATTGGCTACTTATAAACAGACATTAATGGTTATATATGAGTGCTGCAGAGCAACCTGTAACTTATCATAGTAAATCATTATCAGTTACAGGTTTTCGCTCTGCAGCACACATATAATGTTCAATAAGCTTTTTTTCATTATTCGGTGTGTAGTTTGAGGTCTCAGCGTGATACAAAAATTAAGTTTTGCACATGAACGAGAAAAAATAAAAACTAAATATGTAGCTTAAAACACTAAATAGAGTAAATAGATATTAGCAAAATAAGTTTTGGAATACCAATTTTAAAATTTTTTAAATACTAAAGCTATTTCTCTAAGTAACATTGCACAAAAGATTGAATGATACGTAACATCTTTAGCATCGTCATCCTGTTCACATCATAATCAATAAAGATTCTAAATTGACCCATGTCCAAGTATAATGTAAAACATCTTGTATTTCATCTCCATCTCCATTAATTTGTTTATTTTTTATCTGTTGATCTAACAACGATGCAGGTACTGCATATTCTGTTTCGACCAAGACCTTTTTATGTGA